AATAATATCCTACATATGCATACGTATTTCTAAAGCAAAACATGACTTAAAATTTGTTAGATAAAGCCAATGTACTTCTTAACTAAGATAAACTTATTTACGCTAGGGTGCCCACCATCAATTTTCTTTTTAAAAAAGTAATAATGTGAATGCCTTACTTTCTAAAGACAGAGCTCATACAACAATAATGCAAGAGTCTGGGAAACAGAGGTGGAGGATCATCCCATCCACCAGCATCTAACCACACCACCGTAATTTTTATTCTCCTTTCATACATGTATTTTCTCATGATCACAATGTATGTGATATTAAAATCAATTGGCTTTTTATCCTAAATCAGCCAGTTTCGCTTTGGAACTTTTTTCTAAGACATCCAATTATAAGCTAACGAGATTTGAAATATAAATATAAAATTCCTTTCAGCAAATTTGGCGTTTTGTGACATATGAAATTACCAAAACATCTAAAAATTTCAAAGGAAAGATTTCATCCCCATGCAAGGGCACTACTTAGTAACAATAATAGTAAACTAAGACTGCTTGAGCAACGTTTTCTATTCTGAAATAGAAACCACCTCTACACTAGGTATCAAAAGAAATGCCAGAGAAAATATTTAAAGTTGCCGTAATGGTTTTAAAGAAGGTCTCCACTTATTTTTCTTTTAATAAAAAGAAGGGTAGGGTAACCCTTACCTCTCTTCTTCACCTTCTAAGAGTTTCCTATAAGCGCTGATTTCCATGTCCAGGGCCAACTTTACATCAAGAAGTTGTTCATAATCACTCAGCTGTTGCTGCATCTGATCCCTGATTTCTGCCATCTCTCTCTCTTTGTCAGACAGCATGCGACGAGAGTTGTCTCTTTCTTTAGCAAGCAAGTCCTCTAACTCTTGAATCCTTTCCAAGCATGCTCTAGACTTAAGATTCAAGGAAACACATTTACTTTCTAAGAACATTCTAACATTACCACAAGGCAGCTATTTAAAACCATTTCTTGAACTAGAAAACAAATAAAGCCCTATGGAATCTCTAACTCAGTAGAATTCAAGTAATTTTAAGAAATTAAAACACTAAAGTCTTCAAATACAAAATACAGACCTGGGGAAAGTATCGACGAAAAAAGACTAAAAAAAAGAAATATTACTCAAATATAAGTTGTACATATCTACATTTTTCTGCATTTGTCCAAATAAATGTAAGTCGTGGTTTTAGTAAAAGTCTGGTTCCCCTACAGAGCCTTTACTTCAAACAGTATAAATTAACTAAAGTAAAGAACTTAAAGAGATACAAAAACTCACTGACAAAAGAAACCTTTCAAAGAGTAGATGAAAGTGTGTTTGGGAGCAGTGCTGAGGGAACCAAAGCAAGGGACTCTGGTTACTGCGGTAAGTGCTGCGGAGTCCCTCTAGGACTGCAGTGCTGTCTCCTGCTCAGTCAGCACACACAGGACATACAACATAGGGTGACTCGTAAAACATTATTGTAGATACAGAAACTTTACCTTTGGTATAAAAAATGTAAAAATCATTCATCCTACGTCAGAAAGTTCATCTTAGAAACCTTGTAGCTCACAGGGTAATTATTCTTCTATGGTTCTCCAGGACAGAATTCATCTCAGTAGCCTCAGAAAATGACAAGGGTAATCAACTCGGAAAGATTGATGGATGGATGGCTTAGGCCCTCAGAATCACAAGTGGCTGCATCAGAGCAGGAGAGCAAGGGCACCTAATGTGCAAAAAAGTAGATCTGGAAGGCTAGAGGTGAGCAGGAACTACACGCTGTACACACACACGCTACCTCTTGTTGGTAAACTTCTCACAAGAGCACCCTTCACAATTTTGAAACTTTTTCAGACGTACACTAGGGCTGAACAAATGAGCAGATGGATGGTAGAAACCAGGTTTCTTACCCTCAGAGAGAAAAGTTACAGATAAGACAGAAAGGAGACCAGAAATAAATCCTGGGGTACTAGATCTGAGTTAGAGACATCTGTGCAAACTCATGTGTAGCTTAATGTAAAGACCTATGTGGACAGAACAAGTCTAAATGTGTGTATAAATGTGCCGACACACACACACATCTGACCTACTAGTTCTGGCCAGGAGAGGACCTAGAAGTAGCGACACCCCATACCAAGGGGCACACTCAGTGCCCAGGTCCCAGTTTCTGTATGGCATTCTCCAATAAAAAGAATCAGGGCTCCTTGGAGAAATGAGGATTCTTGGGCTGAGGGAGGGAAAACACAAGACGAAGCCAGAAAGCTATGAAAAGTCCTCGAAAAACAAAAGGACACAATAGCCAACCTCAAAGAACTCCCAATGGCCAAAGGTGAACCTGAGCCAATGAAATAAATAATGCAATATTAGATTATAACTCAAAGCATAAAGTAAGTTTCCCTGAGTCCACACTGCTATAAACAAGTAAATGAGGAAGACAACGCAAATCTTTACAGAATGCCATTTAATAAATGTAAATCCTCTTCTAGGAGGTACAGCTTAATTTCTGCCCTTCACTCTTGAGTGAGCTGAACTTAGGGACTTGCTTCCCAAGAACAGAATATGGAAAGGGAAAACCAATACCTGTGCTGATGTTGAAGAAACCTGGTGAACACTACCTCAACCAGGCACCACCACTGAGGTCATGCAGGCTCCTGTGCATGCAACTCCTGATACGATGTGACAAGACGGGCACTTAAAACCCACAACCCAAGTCCAATCATGCGAAAAGCACCATACAAATCTAGACTGAGGACAGTCTAAAGGACTCCTCAAAATTCAAGGTCATAAAAAACAAGGAAAGGCTGACAAACTGCCTCAGACCAGAGAGGCATGTGGTACCTTTAAACATGAGGAAAAGGTGCTCCGAAGGTTGGCTTATGTAGGAAAAATTAACAAACTCATTTACATTTTATATTATACAGCAGAACCTCCATAGTTGGCCATCTCTGTACACTGACCACCTCCTTAAGTTGACCTAACTTTCATAGAGTGGACAGGCACCCCATGCACGTATCAGCACAGTAGGCCTAGTTCCTCATGTCGACCACCTCCACATTTTGACCAGTTTGTTATGGATCCTTGGGTGGTGAACTTACAAATGTTCTAATATATCTATTCTATTCTATTATATATTTTATATTTTTGAGACAGAGTTTCACTGTTGCCCTGGGTAGAGTGCCATGGCATCACAGCTCACAGCAACCTCAAATTCCTGGGCTTAAGCAATTCACTTGACTCAGCCTCCAGAGTAGCTGGGACTATAGGCGCCCTCCACAATGCCTGGCTATTTTTTTTTAAAGAGATGGGGTGGGGTGGGATGGGGGGTCTCACTCTGGCCCGGGCTGGTCGCGAACCTCTGAGCTCAAGCAATCCACCCACCTCAGCCTCCCAGAGTGCTAGGATAGGCGTGAGCCACCATGCCTGGCATGTATTTTCTATTTATATCTCAACACACAGAAAAATATTTTGTAAAATTCTACAATGAATATTTTGTAAATCAGTGTACACGTAGCTACAATTTCCAATTTCCCCTATGTATATATTGACCTTTGGGATACTCTGTAGAAAAAGGTGAAATCCAAATAGGCTAGCATCTACTTCATAGTAATATGCCAATGTCAATTTCTTGATTTTGACAAATAGAGCATAATAACATACAATGCTAACGATGGGGGGAAACTGAGAAAGAGATCAGTGAGAATTATCTGTGCTACATTGCCATCTTTTCCATAAACCAAAAATCATGCAAACATAAAAAGATTATTTTAAAAATATCAGTAGTCATTCTGAACTTACTCTGGTCTGGGGGGAGCTGAATTCACAAAGGAAAAGAAAAATTTTTAAAGAAAAAAATAAGTTACCAATTAATTAATTCAATTCCAGAGTAGTATATGATAGTCTATATTAGAAACAGGCCATTTCTCTTAAGAGGGATATTATAAAGGTGGTTTCTTTCCTTCAGATAACTTGCATTTAACTGCATCTGCAAAATATATGCTATAAATGGGGAAATCCTTTTTTCTCCCCATGCTTTTTCTCCAGGAGAAAAAACGTAATGTAAGTTCCAAATGCCTCTTCAATCTCTTTATTTCATATGCCAGAGGCAGAAGATAGAATGGACAACAGGTAGAATCTAAAGAGTTGATGAAAGACATAAATTATCCATGATTCAGGATAATCCATGAGCCCCAGAACTATAAATCCAACAATGTGTTATAGATTCTTTGAGGGAAAATGGAAATCTAGGTAAAAGTTTTAAAGTTAGTCTGAATCACTTTGTATATGAAATAGAAATATTTAAATTTCTATTTTAAATAGCCACATTTGTGTAGTGAAATAAAGGAACACAATATGAGAAATCAGACCTAGATTCCTGCTGATCTTGCCATTTACTACCACCTATGAGACTCTTGGCAAGCTGGAACGAACCTCACTAAACCAGTTTCCACATTTGAAAAATGATGAGATCTAACAGGGTTATCTCCATGATGCTGCCTCTAACTCTGAAATTACGACTTCTCATGGTCTCAGCTTTTAATGTTATTGTTTATACTATATAAAGTAATTGTACTGTATTAGTCTATCATGATTTAGCTGCAGTAAGTTTCCAGAGTTTGGATGTCAAAGATGGTCTTGAAGTGCTACACTACACAGACTCTTCTCTAAGGCAAGCAGACCCTGACCAACCAGTTAACCTGGCCAAAGGAAAAACTCTAGAAATGCTATAAGCAATGTCTAAAATTCCTAACTCCAGAACATAATGCTGCTACCATCTATATATTATTTAAATGTATCTTCTAAAATCAGTATTTTAACAGGCTATGTCAATTTCAAATAAAATTTAAGAAGCACTTCACGAACATGAGGTATACATACAACCAAAAGGAAATGCTTATGGCCCAACAGGCAGCATGATGAAACTGATATGACTCAACAACAAACACTATTAAGACATACAATCGGAAGATACTAAAAGATAACTTTTTTTTTTTTTTTTTTTGGAGAGACACAACCTCAAGCTGTCACCCTGGATAGAGTGCCGTGGCATCACAGCTCACAGCAACCTCAAACTCTTCTTGGGTTTAAGTGATTCTTTTGCTTCAGCCTCCCAAGTAGCTGGGACCACAGGTGCCCGCCACAACACCCGGCTATTTTTTGGTTGCAGATGTCATTGTTGTTTGGCGGGCCCAGGTTGGATTTGAACTGGCCAGCTCAAATGTATGTGGCTGGCGCCTTAGCTGCTTGAGCCAAAAAAGATAACATTTTAAAATGATTTTTTTAAAGCTCAAATTTATCAACTGATAAAAATACTCTTTATCATCAAATCTATTATCAATGATGAATGGAGGAGCGGCCTCTCCCCCTGCAGACAGAGAACTGAAGGGCACTTCCTTCCTATTTGCCAAGCAGTTTGCTCCTGGAAACCCCCAGCATCCGGCCTTACCAACATCATTTAAAAATCACTAACCTGAGGTTAACAAAAAAAACTTGCAAAAATGGGAAGACAATTAACAGGCAAACCAGGAAAAGGCCCTGACCTTGGGTCAGATCATGTCTGCGCTATATAGCTAAGGTTCAGAGCCCACTGCTCTTTAACCACAGACACGTCTCAGTCTCTTCGGCTGTAAAAGATCAACCTCAAGAGAACTGTACCAAGTGTAATCAAGGGGATTAAGTAGCAGCGAAATATAAAAAGATAGGAAAAAGGTAAATTAAGGACAAAACAGTAACTAGAATACAACTCAATAAATGAAGAAAAGCAGTAAATATCAATTCAGCCTAAGAACAGGAAGACCTACTTCTGGAAAGTACCTGTTAAGACAGTGACAGAGTCTGAGTATTGATGCCCCCTAGGAATCTCATCCCTCAAGACAATGATACTGAGGGGCGGGCCTTTGGGGTGGTGATTAGATCATGGGGGTGGAGCCTCTGTGATTGGGACTGGTGACCTTATAAAATGAGGCCATTCAACTATATGAGGACAAAGCAAAAAGACACCATCTATAAATCAGAAAGTGGATGGATCTCACCAGGCAGATACCCAATGTGCCAGGACCTTGGCCTTGGACTTCCCAACCTCCAGAAATGCAGACAAATTTCTGAAATTTCTGTTGTTTATAAGCTACCAAGTCTATAGCATCTGGTTATAGTAGCACAAAAGGACTAAGATAAATGGCACTATGAAAAAAAGATTATCTGTTAAATTCCTAAAAGAAAATCTTTGAAGCGAGTGAGATCTAAAGGGAAAAACTGAGAACTGAGAACCATTTATCAGTCTGCAACCTCTGGGCAAGTCATTAACTCACCTACACCTGTGCTTACTGAGTCAACTCAAAGGTCCTGCCATCTCTACTGTTACACAAAAACTCCAAAATACAATCAGAACAAAACAGGTCTAAAATAATTTAAAAACGTATACTGTAAGTAATGAATCACATGACAGGCAACAGAAAAGCTTCTGTGTTAACTATATTTTTTAATATCATCTATCTTGTAAGCCTCATTTTCTGCTTTGTTTCCTAAACTCCTGTAATAAATATGCTTGGCTTTACAGTCAGAAAAATATTTTACCAAAAATGATAAAAAAGAGGAAAAACCTAATCAAGAGTAAACTAAAGGTTTTTCTTATGTGGGAAATTCAGAAAAATATTTTCTCCCTCAAGGAAAACAGAAGCTGAAGTTACTTCCCAAGTAATAAAGGTGAGTAGTAAATTAAATCCTGCTGAACGCGTATCTGGCTGTGTCTACACACTGCATCCATCAACACTACCCTATGCTGAAACTGATCTGAAGCAGTGTCTACCCTGCTAAGGACGCACCTAGAGCAAGCCATCATGTCCCAGTAGGCAGCCAGTCAACACAGCCAGCAACAACGCCATCTGCACTGAGGTGTGCTAATCAATGAATTAGTCACTAAATTTTTTTTTTTTTTTTTTTTGAGACAGAGTCTCACTATGTTTTCCTAGAGTGCCGTGGCATCACAGCTCTGAGCAACCTCAAACTCACGGGCTTAAGAGATTTTCTTGCCTCAGCCTCCCAACTAGTTGGGACTACAGGTACCCACCACAACACCTGGCTATTTTTTGTTGCAGCTATGGTCATTTAGCTGGCCCAGGCCAGGCTCAAACCCGCCAGCCTAGGTGTATGTGGCTGGCACCACTGAGCTACAGATGGTGAGCCCGTCACTAAATTCTTACTGAAAATGCAAATTAATGCTACTTCCCAAGATCCCAGTTATTAAGTGGTGTAAGCACCAAGAGAGTATGTCTAGAAACACAGCATTCACCACCCACAAAGACTTTTTACGTTTTCCTTCACTTTGGTTTCTAGATGTTATAAAAAAGGAATGTGTTGGGAATAACACTCTGTAGACAAGAGGCTGTTAGGTCACAAAACTTAGGTTCTGGCTCGGCGCCTATAGCTCAACCGGCTAAGGCGCCAGCCACGTACACCTAAGGTGGCAGGTTCGAATCCCCAGCCAGGACCCGCCAAAAAAAAACCCAACAATGACGGCTGCAACCAAAAAATAGCC